CCAGGCATCTTTTATAATTGAGCTAAGAGACAATGTCAGTGCTTAGTCTGAGCTGCTTTTAAGATGTTATGCAATATTGGATTTCCTAAATTATGTAACCCATTTAGTCATTTCTTTACCCTTGTCTTCATCAATACTCAACCTCTTTCAATTTTGTAAGAAATATTTAAATTGGCCACTGTGCTTATAACAAGAACTTAAGCTCTTCACTTGCGTTTGTAAATGTCCAATCAGTATAACTAAAAACAGATTTAAAACTTGGCATCTCTCTTTCCCTCTACTTTTTTTTTTTTTTTTTTTTTGTATATGTGTATTGGGGATTGAATTCAGGATACCTTGAACATGCTACACAAAAGCACTCTATCACTGAGCTACATTCCCTTCCTTTTTCAAAAATTTTATTTTCAGAGAGGGTCTTGCTAAATTACCCAGGCTGACTTTGAACTTGTGATCCTCCTTTCTCAGTCTCCTGTGTAGCTGGGATTACAGGCGTGTGCCACCATGCCCAGTTTCTGGCTCTATTTGCATCTGTCTCCTTTGCTCTGAATCAGTCACTGTGGATTTCAAGAAGAACAGGTCTGATCTATAAACCTCTTGTGATGAGTGAAAACTACCTCCCTGGAAAGAGCAACTTTCCTATCTCTAACAAGGCCTCTGCCTGACCAATCCTTAGATAATGATCAGCCAGGCCACAGTTTGAACATAACTGCTTGACTATGCATACTTCTGGTCCTTTTGTCTGTATAATCTGGAAGCTCATGCTAGTACCCTGAAGATAGGGCTGGAAATGCTGGTCTCCTTTGTCTTCCTGGTGTAGCTATACTGATCAAAGTTCCTTTTCTGCTTTTCAACACACACAAACACACACACACATACCCACATATTTTCTCCCCTGTTCAGTTTTTGGGGCAAGTGGCTGAACGTGATTTGTTGGGATTTCCAGGACTGGGCCTCTGACTGGGACTCGAGTGTATCATGCTGGTCTAGATAATGATATTCATCTAACAAGTGCCTCCTACTCAGTCAACCCCCCAGCCTCATGGGAAGAGAGGGAGCATTAAGTTGATCACTAGTAAGTAGCCAGTGACTTAGTCAATTATGCCTACATGATCAATCTTCCATAAAAGCCTAAAGAACTGAGCTCAGAGAGCTTCCTGATATCCGAATATATGGAAGCTGCTAGAGGAGGGGAGAATACCCAGAGAGCATGGAAGCTCCATACCCTTTCCTGTGTACCTTGCCTTATGCATCTTTCATCTTTATCCCTTGCAATATCCTTTATAATATGCCAGTAAGCATGCTTTCTTGAGTTCTGTGAGCTGCCCTCACAAATTAATTGAACCTCAATTTATAGCCATCAAGAAGAAGCACAGGTAAAACAGTGTGGGGTTTGTGATTGGGGCCTAAAATGAGAGACACTCTCAGAGGACTGAGTCCTCAAGCTCTTATCAAAATTGAATTGGAAAGCACCCAAGGTGGTGTCTGATGCAGAACCATAAGAGGGGCTCCCTTGAAATTATCCTTTGTTCCCCCTTCTCTTTTGCCCTTCTACCCTCCCTAATCTTTTTCTTCTTAGAGAGAAGCCCCATCTAGATGTTAACTACTAAACCTTTGGATGCATAGAATCCAGAAGGCCTTTTTAACACTTTTAGTAACCAGATGTAGAAGACAGAAATCCACTGTAGTGTCCTGGTGAAGACACACCCCTCACTGATGAAGACCCCGCTCAGCTTGCAGTCCTACTGCCTTTTTCCCTTTCCACACACACCTTTGCCTGGTCAGAAAGGATGGAGCTTTTATAGGAGGTAGACCCTCAATCTTCTTCAGAGCTATCCTTAAGTAAACCTGACTCTTCCCTATCAATACTCATCTCCTGAATATCGGTACTAAAGCAGCACACAGGCTGGACATCAACTACCATCATCAGCATCAAATTGTTTGGAATTGCATGTTGCTTACAAGTTTAAAATGTTTCTTCCTCTGAAGAAAAACTCACTTGAAGATGGGGATCTTTCAACGAGGTCATGCTTAGACAGCATGATTCTATGAATAATAATGATAAAGCTTTTTTTTAAAGAAATGCTAAAAGTCTCAAATTGTTGGGAGACTCAAAAAGATGAAAAAACAGATTATTTTCTTGACCTTTGTTCAAAAATCCCCCAGAGGAAATGCTTACTTCCATCTTTCTCTTATGGGAATAGCATGTTTGCACTCACATACTGCAAAAAGGCACAAAAGCAACAAAGGAGTTAGAGAAGAGAGGAGAAAAAGACATTGACAAAAACCAAAACAAAGGTTTATACAGCAGACCCAGAAAGACCAAGAAGATCAAGGAAGGAAAACACATTTTAGAAAAACAGACTTCGAGAAGGCTACTGTATTACAGTAACACATTCCCAGTTTTAGTCATAAGTGTTTCTAATAGAGAATTAAGATACCTACAATTCATCCAAAAATAACAAATTGATAATTTTTTTATTTCAGTTGGTATGAAAGTCAGAAAAACTTGTAGTAAAATAACACTGTATTATCAAATATAAGGAATAAAAGATCATAGATTTCAGGTAAATCAAATGACCATTTGCTTCCTCCAGGTAACAATCAAAACAATTGGTAATCTCCCAACTGCCAAAGAAGCCAAATTTAATTTCTCTGTATTATTGATATGACCCTGAGAATCAGACTGGGGGCCTTATGGTAACAAGCTCCCATTGGACAGTATGTAAGAGATAGCTGCCTCACAATTAATTTCATAACACATCCAATAAGCCTCTATTATAATATGCCAATATGTTATGCAATAATTATCTCTCAATGACAAGAACTGTAAATTCAAACATTCAAACTCTATTAACATTATGAAATTTGAAAGAAGGAAAAACCCTTAAGTACTTACAGAGTGCAAGAGGTTTTATATTCTGTGAGTCATGGCCTGGGCAGTGATCCTGCCCTTTGTATAATAAAAAGATGTATTCTCTCTCTCTCTTCTGAACATCTGTAGTACACATTGTCTCTGTCATTCATTTGGCACTCTGTTTTGAAGTGGTAAAACTTCTCACATGCATCTTTCTGATCTGAATAAGTCCCTTAAGGGCAATAGTGATACCTTCTACTCATTTGGATCTTCCACATAATACCTCACAAGTAGATGTTTCTTAAATATTAATCAACTGACTCTTGTTAATCGTTAACTAATACCAGCAACATATCTTTCCTTCAACAATACCTTTGGAGTATGGCTGCTCTATACTTGGAAAAATTAAAATGAAACGAAGCAATAGAGATCATTTTAAATAGCCAGATTTGGGGCAAGTGATTTCAGATAAAAAGAATAAATTTTCTTTAGATTAATCCCAACTCTAATCGAAGACCTTCAAACTCTCAGGAAATAGGTGTCTCAAACGTAAAGGTAATAAGCAGTTAATATGTGGGCCCTAGCACAGTTTTTTCCCCAGTTCCTGTCCCTGGATTGGAAAACAATAACAAAGCTTTACCACCTTTCTCTAAATCCCTGTGCTCTAGACTTTCCTGTACTCAATTAGAGGCTACTCCTACACTGTTCCAAAAGGTTCCCATGGTTCCTGGTCATTAGCAATTCTGTCCGATGGATGGTTCTCACAGGGTAGTATCAGAATGTAATTGAATGCTTGCTAAAATACAAATTGCCAGGCTCCACTCCCAGAGTTTCTTATTTAGTGGATCTCTAATGTAGACTTACGTGTTGGCATTCTAATAAGGTTTTAGGTGACATCAATGCTGGTGGTCCAGGTACCACATTTTTAGGACTATCACTACCCTCAATCTTCACCTATTTCTGTCATGTTTATTAGGCATTATTATTATTATTCAATTTTAAGGCCTATTCTTCTATTAGAAGCTTGGCTTATTCTACTTACTAAACACGTGCTGCCATGTGATATGAACTACAAACACTATCTTCATGTGGAGCTTTTCAGCATAACATCAAAGGTTTTGGACAACCGAAAGGTGACTATTCAATCTCTAATGTGTCATATAACCATTTGGACCAAGTGTTCAAGACAAGGAAGTACCAGGCTACTTATTTAGCCTACATTACCTAATTTAGAGTAAAGGGGATATACATATTTTTCTCTTTGCCAGGACTGTTTTTTAACCCCCTCTCATCTAGTCAACTTCTAATTTTCTCCCAGGTGTGTTAGTTCAGGGGTAACTTATGCAGGGAGGCCTTCCTTTTCTTTGCCATGACCAGGCCAAATCCTACTTTGTGTTCTTATAAACTCACTGAATCCTTTCTACCCCCTGTCATGGTTGCACTTTTTTTTTTTAAGAGAAAGAGAGAATTTTATATTTATTTTTTAGTTATCGGCGGACACAACATTTTTGCTTGTATGTGGTGCTGAGGATTGAACCCGGGCCGCATGCATGCCAGGCAAGCGCGCTACCGCTTGAGCCACATCCCCAGCCCCATGGTTGCACTTTTTATGTTTGTTCATAGGATTATTATGTTAATAGTTGCTTCCCACACAGAAGTATAAGTTCCAAGCAGAAAAGGAAAGTTATTTGTTTTGGCAACCATTACATTTTCAATGTCTGACGAAGTATCAGGTGCACAGAATATGTTCAAATTAATGTAGACAGATTTGAGCATTTTTAGCCCCCAAAGAGATAAGATTTAGTATTTCTTTCCATGCTTGGCCCCAAACACTGGAATACCAAAATAAAAATCAAATATATTGCCGAGCTCAGTGGTGCACACTAGTAATCCCCGTGACTCAGGAGGATTGAAAGTTTGAGGCTAGCTTCAGTAAGTCAGCAAGATGCTAACAACTTAGAAAGACCATGTCTCAAAATAAAAAATAAAAAAGACTGGGGATATAGTTTAGTAGTAAAGCATCCCTGGGTGTTCAATTCCCAGTCACCCCCCAGCCCCTACAAAACAAAAATCAAATTTCTTACCCTGTACCAGTTTTTCAACAACCCAATATACAAAATAAAATATTTTTTAAAAAGTGTCATACCTTTTCTGAATAATTCTTGGAGACTTTCAGCACTTTGATTTAATACAGCCCATATTTCTTCCTCCTGCAGTGATCCGCCCCGAACCTCCAGGGCCTCAGCTAGTGACACATGCATATTACTAGAAAACAAAGGTAACAGATGGTCTGGCATTAGCAACTTAACTGCACTTATAGTAGCAAGAGGTCTACATATGATGAGAGACTATGAACCCTGGTGTACCTAATTTCTCAATACAGCCTTCAATATAGTCCTATAGTCTTAAACTCATAAAGAGTAAAGGAATTGGAAGAAAACCCCCTCAAAACAACTAATTGCTCTTGCCTAACAGGATCCACCTCAGAGACAGAACTGGATAAGAGTGGTGATGACTATTTTATAAGAAGACAGAGAACCCAGGGTACCAGAAGACACCAAAATATAGATGGATGATGAAAGTAGAGCAGCCCGACTAAACTGCAAGCATTTGGGATTTCAGTTCCAAGTTTCATCCTATGCACACCAGATATAAAGAGTAGAATGGAAAAGATAATCTTTAGCCATCACAGGGGAATTTGGGAATAAAGCAGAGCACATTTATTCCATTTTTTTAATGGATTCTATAATCTCTAATAAATATATACTATAACTGTGAAATATATACTATAACTGTGATATGTTGATTAAATTTAAGATTCTCTATGGGGCTCAATGATCCTATTTTTATTTTGGAAGGGAAAAAATGCAGCTATTCAAAATACTTCCATATAAACTTTTCTCAATTGACATGCCTTGAAAACTGTTCTTTATGGTATCACTAAGATTTATACCCAAACCAAACCAATTTAAACATAATATATAATTTATGTCTATTAGTTGGACACAGTAGCACATGCCTATAATCCTAGTGACTATGGATGCTGAGATAGGAGGATCACCAAGTTTGAGGTCAATCTCAGTAACTTTGTAAGACCCTAAGAAACTTAGTGAGACCATGTTGTCACAAAATAAAGAATAAAAAAGGCTGGGCTCAGTGGTAATGAACAACTGGGTTCAATTCCTGGTATACCAAAAAAATAAATAAATAAAGAGGTATATTTATTAGTACACAGCAGCAGATGGGTTTAGGAAAGAAGCCAAACGATACTGAAAATGTTAAATACTATACTTAATTGTATTTTCTGTAACTAAGTTTCTCATTAAATTTTAAAATGAAACTATAAAAACATCTGATTTAGACAAAAGTTGACTTTGTTTAAAAACTGATAAGAAAAGCAGGAGTTTTCTTTTAGTTTACATTTATGATAGTTTAATCCAGATTGAATAAAATTTCAGGTACAGGAAGGCCAGACTTGTCTTTTCACTTTTCTTTTAAAACATTTACTATAACATTTTATGCTCAAAGTCTGCCCCTGAGGGGTATCTACTATCACGCATAATATAGTAGTTAAAAGGAAAGATGTAAGATATTGCTTTGAAAAAGCCAAAGGGTTTTTATTTAGCTTGTACAGAAATGTGATTATTTATTAAGACCTCTTGCCCATAGCAAAAGTCTCTAGGTTTTCACATACTTATTATAATAACCATAGCACCTTAGTCCAAGAGTAAAAAGTAGAAGTTGCGTTTCTTAGAGAGATGTGTGAGCTACTATCTTCTACATGAAACATATTATAAACTGAAAGTTTCGACAGAAGCATCAAGATACCATTAGCAATCAGATACCAACATGACTTGTGGGAAAGACTACCCTGTAGCAAATTTCCAAAGTGTTACATCTGAGAACCGGTTAGATGGCTCCAAAGCCTACACACAGGGTATAAAGAAAAAAGATTGCACAAGAAGATTTCTTTGAAGAAACTTGTACTGATTTTCATGTCTCCTCTAAAGCAGAAGGGGTGTAGGAAGGGGCCTTCCTTTTACCTCAAGTCAGTAAAAGAGGCTTCACAGGGATCCTTCGGAGTGTTTGATAATGTGTTCTCTGGAGTTGGAGGTGACATGGCAAACTGGTACCCGATACAGTAATCTAATGGCACTGGCTATTACACAAGTTAGCACAAAGAGGGAGAGAGGAGAAGAGCACACACAAGAGTGAGGGAGCAGGCTGTGTCTGGAGCCAGCTACACTTGCAGAATGGGGGAGGAGAGAGGCAAGGAAGCAGGCCGGACAGAGGACAAGCCTGGAGCTATCTCCAGTCCTGCCCAGAGGATGAAAACATCCTAATATTTAGATAGTAGTGATGGTTGCATAACTCTGTAGATACTAAAAACACCCAAGGTATGTAGGTATGTGCTAAATTGAATGGCATGTGAATTATATCTCAAAATATGCATCAAAATAGTTTTCATTCCCAGCATTGCACATATACAAAAACATACACATATAAATGCATGTCTACCCAAAGTACCACCTGAAATATACAGAGCACCACCAAGAAGAAAGAGCAAGGGAAAGAGGAGAAGAGGGAAGGAGGAGAAGAGGAGGAAGAAGAATTAGAATTATTATTATTGAAAAAATGGCCTGAGAAGAAAGCAAGTTGAAGACCAGAAGGGTTAAAGGGTACTGGCTAACTGGAGAAAAAATTTTCTGGATTGTCACAGGAAGTACAGTTCCAGTGGACACTGAAAAAAAATTATGAAATACACACAAGAGAAAAGGCCACCCTTAAACATATTAAGTTTAAAACAAAAATGGATGGAAGTGGAGAATAGTGTGCTAAGTGAAATTAGCCAAATTCAGAAACTCAAAGGTTGAATGTTTTCTCTTTTGTGTGGAAATTAGAGTAAATTAAAAGACCTCAACTACTATGAATAACCATAAAGCTCTAAAAGAAATAAAATGAACAAATGAAGCTCTTTACAATAGAAATCAGGAAAAACTGATTTTCTGCTTCTATTCCTATAGTTTAAATCCCAATGAGGTTGGATATAGCAACTTGCCAGAGGGTAAGGAGATAAGCAATAAAAAGTAAAGTTAAATACATTGCCTACCATCTATAAGCTAACTGCAGTTAGGGAAGGGAGAGTTTAAATTTTGAATGGAGATATAAATATTGGTTCATATAACAAGTAGGCATTTTTAATGGAACTGTCTTTTAAACTTAAGTGACTATATCATCAAATAGTAAGGAGAAAATCACTACCTGAGTCTTTATATAGATGCAGGGAAAGAACTCCTAGGGCGGGGGGAGGGGTGGTGGGAAGAAAGAAAGAGAAGTGATGGACAAAGTAAATTGCTTGTGGGTCTGTCTCTTTCTTCTTGGCAGAGGGGTGCAGGTTCTTGCAAAATTGCCGAGGCTGGCCTCAAACTTGTGATCATCTTGTCAGCCTCTCGGTAGCTAGATTACAAAGATGTGCCACCATGCCTGGTTCTAAATTTTATTTTATTCTTTTTCCTGGGCATGTTGCAACTCAACCTCCTGGCTCTGAGTTTCAAAATCTTAAAATACTGGTTCTTATATACCTTTTTAAAGAAACTGGCTTTTAAAACATAATTACTCTGTATATATAAGAAAATAAAAAAGTAAAGGTTCTCATATGATGGCTTTTTTAATGCTTGACTTTTCTATCTAAAGAGTACTAAGTATGCCAATGTTGCTTGATATAATCAGTTCTAAATTGTATTTGATTAATCTTCTGTTAATTTCATTTCAAATACTTTTTTGTCTTTTCAGTATCTGGTTTCTATGTCCATCTGTGATGATGCTTAAGGACTCCAAAACATAGAAGGAACGGAACACTGATTAAGGCTAGGAAAAAAAATTAGTTAAGAAAATTTTTAATTTATGGTGCAATTGTTTCCTTTAGATACAATACTAGATAACTTGGGGTACAAAAATATGACTGGAATTATTTTACTATTGCAAAGGCTCTGTTTTACAATAAAAATAACATATTACTTTTATTTTCTTAAAACATGTGTGCTACATGATAACTACAAAGGTATTGGAAAGAAATTAAAATAAGAAAAATTACTTATGCTATACAACCAGAATCATTGTTACACTTTTGGTTAACATAAGAATTACTGGTATGACGTAAAACTGGGTCCATATAATTAGACAGTGCCACAAAAGGATATCAACAGATGTCATTTTAATCCTGAAGGAGTGTGGCTCAAGAATAGAAAGCATATTTAAGTGATTCAGAATAGAATGAAATAGTAAACAGATTAACTGAATCCAATCAAGTGACATAATAACCTGTCTGGTGGTTGATTAATTAAGAATGCTTAACTTGAATCTAGGGGAAAGGGGCTATAAAAGCACTCTATTTCAAGTACAAAGCAGCTATAAACTAGAGCTCTGCGTGTGCAATGAGTTTTGAGCAAGAATTCACTCAGCATCCTGCCTGAGGGTTTCTTTAATCATTAAGAAAACATAGTGTGGACTGCGGACTTGTACCTCAGTGGTAGAGCCCTTGCCTGGCCTGAGCAGGGCCCTCAGTTGGATCTCCTATACAGCAACACCAAACAATTCATGACTGTTTCTTTGTTTTTGTTTAGAGTTGCAGTGCAGGAGATTCAACTGAGGGCCTCAAAGAAATGAATCCAGGAGGCAACCACCCAAAACGTAAGCATCTTCTAACCGAGGAAGATTCAGAATTAAGATACAAAACTTTACAAGAAGCAAGTTCATATATTGGTATTTTTTTAAATTAAGAATCTGTACATATACAGCTAAGAGAAATAGGCCAGTTATTATAACTGGTTAGATTAGGCTGTGGTTCCAATTTAAAGTGTAAATGTGAAGATGATTGAGACTTGAACTTTAAAATGTACAAAATACACCACTTGAACATAGAAGAGAAATTAATGTCTTGCTATATGTAAATCTTTCCAGATAAATCTTCACTCATTAGAAAACTTAACTGAAGTATTTGGGAAGTTTTTTTTTTTTTTTTTTTGCTATTGTTTGTTGTTTTTTGTCAGACTCATGAAACATGTTTAAAAATTGGCATTTAATTTATATGAATGTAGTTTAAAATATTTCAGAGATTTTAATTAACTAGATTTGAAAATGGGGTTAAAGAACTCAATCAAAATGATCCTTAAAAGCTGCTATTAAACTTTACTAATTAACCCCAGGTAGAAAAAGACAACAATAAATAAATGCTCACAAGGATGTGGAGAAAGGGGGATTTTCCT